TGCTCACACTAATAGATAGCCTTATACACCAAAAATGTAAAGTGCCAGGCATGTATTCTGCGAAAGGCAGGGTGACACCTAATACTTATAATAATAAACCCCTTGTTATTATTTCTGCTTTTATATTTTTCTCTTTGCACATTTGTTTTGCATAATCATGGTATAGGCAGGAGAATGTTTAAAGTGTGTCACTTTAATTTCTTGCCAGTGGCAATTTTGGTGGATTAGAAATTGTAGCTGAGTTAAAGATCCACCTGAAAAAAATTGTGGTGCAATAAATGAGAATGTAAAGTGTTATGGGCTAATCCATCAGGTTGACAGAGACAACAAAAGTATAAAACTACATTTTCTGAATAAAATTCAAGTGTGCTCACTGCTGTAAAGATGCACTGAAATACCAAAGTCAAAATACAATTACTGTACGTAAAGAAGTAGCAACTGAAGCAATGAAAGAAGTTACAATTTTCAGATTAAGATTAAACAATAAATGAAGTTAAAGTGTCAGTCTCAGTGTCTGGGCTGGGTGAGGTTGAGGAATCAACTGACGTGCTGAAGAGTTAAATATCCTTAACTTAAAAGTCATAGAAATTTAAACTTGATCTATTATCTATTGGTTATACTTTATTATGAATCACTTTGGGTTAATTAAGATTTAGTTAAATGTTTTAAATTGGACTGTGTTATTGGCTTGTACTGCAGGTTGACAGAGAGAACTAAATAATTATAAAACTAGAAAAGCCAAATTTTTTGGAGGAAAATTCATGTGTACTCATTGCTGAAAATTTGCAGTTGGAATATTTGAAAGTACATACTAAAATAGCTGCAGTGGCAGTCGAAATACAATCACTGAAGTTTCAGCTGTTGAAAAGGGGTGAAGATTCAGGGGAACTCTGATCACTATAATGAACTGGAAATGTGAATTGCTCTAGATTAAGAGCATAGTGTAAATATATAAGATGGGAATGTAATGCATCATAGGCAAACAGAACAGGTTGACAGAGACATCAAAAGAGTTATAAAACTAGAAAAGGCTACGCCTTCTGAATAAAATGTAAGTGTGCTGCTTTTTTGATATTGGGTGAATATGTAAAATGGGAGAGTAAAGTGTTTTAGAGTGTTTATACATTGGGAAAAAACACTTTGGCCCATATTCACACGAGTATCTGAGCGTTTCCTGTGGGACGTTTTTAAAAAAAAATGTAGTTTCCCCATTCCAAAAAGTTCAGTGAACTCCATTTTTAGAGGTAACAAATACTGCAGCAATGAAAACATAACTCTGATCCCCAACTGCACGATGCGTGTGTGTTACAGTCCAGTAAACGGACAACAGTTCTGAGAGAGCAGTGACAAGGGCAAGTGCAAAACAGGATAACATCAATGACCAGGTGACTGATTAGAAAGCACAAGGTGGAAGATCCATAAATCAAACTGAGAGTGAAAGCCAGCAGCTTGGAGGGAGGGAGCAAAGTAATTAGGTTAAGTATCAGTAATCCTTTCAGCTCATTAAAGCACCACCGTTCACTTTCAAGCAAACATACAACAAGCCTAACATCAAACAAAACAACATAGCCTTCATAAAGTGTGAAATACTTGGAACAATGCAGGTTAGTTTGCCTCCTGCTGCACATAAAGTTTTAATTTGTTTACTAGCTCCTGGAGCTTTGATTTTACTTCTCTATAATACTAGTTATGAGCTAGGAGTTTCACATCCCTGTAGTGAGATAATTAAAGTTCACCGTGTGGAAAAAACTGTAGATATTCTAGTTGAACCAACAATGTGTTGTCAGCATAACATTTTTTGATGTGTACTGCTGCTGTATTCTAGGTGAATGGTTTTATTTGTACCATAAAACATGGAGCATCTTGGACAGTGTTAATGTGTGTGTGTGTGTGAAAGGATAATGAAAACAGGTTATGTGGTAAATGTGGCTGAGCGCCCATGTGTTAGTCAGTTTATCAGTGTTTATATTAGGTAAAGAAAAACTAGCTAGACTGGAGTCCACAGCCTGGAGGGAGTGTGAACTTGTCTTGACTGGTTATATTGTCAAATGAGCAAAGATTACGGCAATACATTCACAGGAAGTGCGTACAGTATCCATGCTGGCTTCAGTGTTTGACCCCTAAGGGTAAACAAGGACAAGACTGGACCTCCTTGCACTGTATGCTTGGAGGCTGGCTGCAAAATCCTGCAGATATAGGCCAGTTGAGCAGGAAGCAACATGCAGGTGCTCTTCACTTCCACCAGCTTTAATGGAATTTAACACAATATTACAGTAAACAGAGAGACTCTGGAAGTCATTTCAACATTGATTATTTTTTGTGCTCTTCACTTGCTCTTCACACACACAAAAAACAACTTGTACTTGATACACTGGCACTCCAAAGACATCCAATAATGATCCTGCATATTACATTCAGCCAAAGCTTTGTGCAGCTCCCATGCTAACACATGACCGCGGGTTACACCATTATTTGTCTCCACACAGAGCAGCTCTCAGCAGACCTGCCGAAAGCGTGTTAAATGTAAGTGTTATTACTGCCTTTGTGTAATACCGCAGTTATGCCCGCATGTACAATAACAAATGCAGCTTTGAACTTCCATGCAACAGGCAGAGTGGAAGTGGCATTTAAATGACTGCAACATGGATTAAATATAAAACAAGGTAGCAATAATATTGCTGCAAACTCAACTGCGCCAGACGTGCTCATCCTCTTACCTGTTTATGGTCCAATCGGATGCAGACTGAATTGTCTTCCCCTAAATAAACGTCGGTTAAAATGTTTATTTTGATGGTTATTTTTCCAAAATAAGACGCGCCCTAGAAGTGAAATAAGGGGGAAAGCGCGTTGCGGCTAACTAGAAATATTAAAACCGCAGCAAGTACAACAAAACGTGTTAGGTGAAAGAAAGAAGCGGGGTTTGGTAGCTGAAATGTTGGCTGCAACTAAATTTGCTCGTCTGCAACACTGCCCGAAAACACAGGAAAATAACAGATTTGGAAAAAGGGTGGGCAAAAAATGGCGAGGGAGGAGTTGAGAGAGAGAGAGAGTGTGTGTGTGTGTGTGTGTCTCTGTGGGTGTGTGTGTTTTTGCTTTCGTTTATTAGATAACATCATTAGGGGAATCAAAGTCACGAATCAAGCACAGCAGGTATCAAGGTAGGCTGCCATAAACACGTCGCAGGTAGGTATAGCCAATACGCTAGATGTGTGTATACAGTTAGACACATACAAGGCGGATTAAGACACACCTGAGTACCTATTAGAGCTGTTGAAGGCTGATAGGAAGATATTTGTCAACCTGGTCAGATAAAGGTTAGCCCCAAAAAAACCCTTCCATAACCCAATATGCGTGCTGTAATTTTAAGGATTTAATTTAAAGGCTAACTGGGTTTAACTTTATTTAAAGTAATAAGATAGCAGGCTAACATAAACTAACGGTGAAAATTTAAACGTAACGTCCGCCCAACGTTACTACGAGATTTCCAAACCCAATTTGTGAAACACTTAAGGTGATATATTCACGTATTAACTCTTTTAACCGTTTAACATGTATAAAATCGGTATATTACATGATTTTACTTCTTAGGTGACAGACAAAGCATGTAGGTAGGAGGGCGCTCTTCAGCTATCCCACCTGATGCTACCAAGGTGCTTTTTCTACCAACGGTTTTCCGGTCGTCTTGTGGTTTTTCACAATAAAATGTACTTAAGACGCATATCAAGCGCACACACCTTTTCACATTTGTTTGGCTAAAAATCTTTTATTCCAATAATAATATAGCCGATTAATATTTTATCTTTTCTGTGAGGTGAGAACATCATCTACAGGCCTGCTAAATATGATAGGGTTTCAGATTTTTGGGGCGGTTTCATTATTTCTAGTTTTTCATTTGACAGAGGCAAACATTAAAGGAGTCAGATTTTTCTTAGTCTTCTCAGTTTAAATCAAAACTAAAACTGAGTTTATATATTTCAGTATATAGACATTTAGCTGTGTATACTCCGTTCTCACCCCCAACTGTACTGATAAATATAGCAATCCTTCCTTTTAGCATTCTTCATAGTCTTTTTTCATTATCAGTGTATTGCTGAATATTCCTTAAAAATTTAGGAGCAGCCGTCACAGCTAATCGCTCTATTAAAAAAGCCTCTGAGGATCACACTGAAACATGGCTCAAATCCTATCCAACCAAATTTAAGAATAAGCCGTGATGCCAACAATCACCGCAGTATCTCCACTTAGGAAGTTTTGATTTCATTAAAATTACTTTAGCGCACTCTGCTGGTGTTTCAGAGGTTTGCAAGTGCAGTCTTTTGTGCTCATGATCAGACCCTAGACTGTGTATAAAAAGGATCAGATAAAAGGAGATCAGACACATAAAGATATCTCCGAATACAACAATAGTTAAGTGAATGTAAAATATTTTTTATATAAAAATGAGACTTGGGAGACATTCAGTAATTTTACAACATTGAGGTATCTATGAAAATTCCATTCTCCTTTTCGGTTGATCAAAAGACACTTGAAAGCACAGGTACATTTTTCAAATGTACACATTTCAGACAACAAAGACAACAATTTGGCAAACATGTAGATTGTGAATCACAAACAGTAGCATATTATTTATAGAAACAGGTATTACATTGTTCTTTTTAACAAAGAAAAATAAATATCCCCTCATTCCAAGCTACATAACAAGAGATCAGATGTGTTTAAAAGTCAGGAGAACAGTTTACAAGGCCTGTGTGATCGAAGATATAGGATCGCACATACCTACACCTTTCTTTCTACCAAGGAAATTTATATTTTATGAATGTCAGTTGTGGCAAAGAATACAATCAGTATCAATAAATAAATGTGTCATTTAAAACGGTTCATGGTGAGAAAATAATATAATTTAGTAGAAGGCATTCACTGAAACTAACTTGGATTAATTAACAACAGACAAGGCAGAACATGGAACACTTATATTAAGACGCCCTACTGCTTGTTCCCATCACTACCACTGTTCAACATTGTCCATGTAATCCTCCATGGTGCCGTTCTCATCCAGATCCCACCATTCTGGGAGTAGCACTTGTGACTCCATACTGTCTCCGTCAGCCTTCCCCCTCTGCTGCTCCTCAGTTACCACAGAGTGTCTGTCAGGCTGACGGGGTGTTTCTGTGGGCTTCAGCTGCCTCCCTTGCTTTGTTATGAGCCTTCCACGGAGTCGCCTCCTCTCCTGCTGCCGCCTCTCCCTGGCCTGCCTGCGCTCCTGCTGCCTCGCCACCTGGAAACGCTGCAAGAAAAGGTCACGGGCGTACTCATACAGCTCCACGTCCCATCGGTTCAACTCAAGGATTCTGTGTTGTGTCTCAGAGGGTACTTCAACAGTGGAGGCGCGTGTGCCATTGAGCTGTGTGAAAGGTGCGATGAACTCCAAATTGAAGCTACGCTCAAACAGATACTGGGTTTTACGCTGGTACTCGGTCAGCCCAAAGAAGGCCATGCCGAGTAGGTTACGTTTGGCGCTCTCAAGGAGTACTGCCCAGCGCTCTTCCTCACTCATGGCGGAGACATTGTAGCAACCCACCAGGCTGAGATCAGCCAGCATGCGGGTCTGTCGGTTGTTGGCCAGGTTGAAGGGGCAGTCCATGAACTCCTGCAGGGAGCAACCTGACCAGTCGTCTCCCGAGTAGCAGCTCGGCAGCTCAGACAGGGTCGGTGAACGTCCATCACACACGTGTAAGGAGGCCTTCCATGTAGCACCACGTTGCACATGCCGCCACTCGCTCAGGTAGCGTGATACTGGGTCTCTCAAGATGGTTATATAATAATAGTTCCTACTGGAGAGAAAAAAAAGCACATAAGATTTGTTGATTATTTTTTTAATGATTTAAGTGAGTTTTTGTTGTATAGAACATTAGAAAATGACAAAACACCCATCATAAAGCTTGGAAATAGATTGGTTGGATTAGTTTGGCAAAAAGCACTTGGTAGGCTAGGCAGAGAAGTTAAATACAAGAAAGTCATTTATATTCAGTTGTATCATAATGAATTATAATTACCTAATTATATTATTGTATAAACACATCGTGAGCAGTGTACAATCCTGAGTCAAATTCCTCGTATGTGTACACATACCTGGCAATAAAACTGATTCTGATTTCCCCAAGGGTCACACTCAAGATGAAAATACATTAAATGATCAAATAAACAGCTATATAACAGCTTCAAATAGGTCAAATTAAACTGTTCCATTAAATATGCATGTTAACAGCTGTCACCTACATTACATCTGTATTATTTAGCATCAGTAATGATGATTTTGTGATGTACTGCATAAGACTATTTTGCAGTATACTGCACATTTCTATATTCGTTTTCATGAGTAATGAATGATGAAAGCATGGTAACTGTAGGACTCCCATCCCAAGCATCCTCCTTCACCAACCTGGGCAGGTTATCGGGAACTTCGCGTGAGTCCATGCGGGACGGGACGCAGCTGGTCAGCTCGGTCCAGTCCGCATGAAGCCCGCAGCTCCAGCCGGTGGAGAAACGGGAAAAGAGCCAGGTTTCCTTTTTACCTGGTCGGAAACAGGTGCATTTCTTTTGACCTGCGTGACACTCGCAGGGCCTCTCCAGCTGAATATTCCGCACCAGGTGTCGACCAAACGTCGTGCCACCCGTTTTTTGAATGTGCAGAAAAACTATAACATCATCCCCTTTGATGTTGAAGTCCACGACACGATTTAAATCGGCTTTGGTGAAGTTGAAGCGAGGGACAAAGCGAACCAGAGCGCCGTCTTCTGCAATGTACGGATCTTTTTGGAGGCCGCCTTGGATTTCGTTCCCACGGCTCCGGGGACCAGTTGCACTGCCGTCCTTAAACCAGGATCCCAGCTGGTGTAGCATCTGGCACTCAGACCTGCTCGGGCACACATACTGGATCATAATGACGCCAAAGAGTACCACCATGAGCAGGACGATCACGAGCCGGTGGTGGCTGCTGTTGGACTTCTCATCCATCTTCCCGGGACGGACAGAAAAACATCACTCAGTCCGGACCCCTGCCTCCGCTGGGGAACCTCGGAGAATATTGTTTATATGGCTGCCGAATGAAGCCAAAACAACAACAATGCAGCTGCTAGTCAGCTAACGAAGGCTAGCCTATAGTGTTGACTGAGTCTCAGAGAAACAAACAATACAATAGCTCATTGTAATGTTTAATGTGTTGTCGGCAGCGTACAGAGTACAGGTGCCATCTCAGATTAGTTAAGTTGTTTGGTAGTAGTATTAGTTTGTACTACAAAGCGAGAGCCTTTCTTGCTGCAGTAAATCCGTGCCTTCCGCGGCCATCGATTCTTGACCTTTCTTCCCAGCAGCCTCTGCGTTCAGCATGGGTGTGAAAATGACGTCACCATGTGGAACGTGGTGGAACCGGTGGAACGTCCCTCCGGAGCCATGGAGACTTAAGATTAAGCTATGAACGGCCCGCCGAGGGTCTTTTCACGCCTCATGTTCTTGTTAATTATCTATAAGGTAATAACGGCTGTCCAATTAGTGTGTCTAAAGTTGGCATGCACCATAATTTATGTTCATCGCCGAAATAGCTCAGTTGGGAGAGCGTTAGACTGAAGATCTAAAGGTCCCTGGTTCGATCCCGGGTTTCGGCATTTTGATATGTTCAACAAATTTGGCTCATACACCTTCAGTCCTCGGTAGATGAATTAATTGGCGCATTGATCATGTTGTGGGCAGACTTATGTCTTTCTACTGGTCTGTTTTCTTATCCAAGGATGGCGAAGGCCAGAACCGCCCTAATCTGCCTCCGATTTGCTACTGGTTGGTTGGGTTCAGAGTGTTTAGGCAAAGGGTAAGAATATCAGGTTAAGCCAATCGGAGGCAGACTAGGACGGACAATACCTTCGCCATCATACATACATTATATATATATATATAAAGTTTGTCCTGTGTGTTAGAACAGTTGAATTAATTACATTATAAAATTAATAGAAAACGTAGCACAATTTTTCTACTACACACCCTTTCCCAGGTAATACTAGTAATGCCGCCAAAGCAAAACATGTACCAGTAAATTAAAGGTCCAGTGTGTAATATTTAGCAGGCTAGGCTAGGCTAGCTAAAATGGCGCCGCAGATGGCCGCCCCGGGATTACGCTACGTAGTGCTTTTTGTGTTTTTGTTAATTAATGCTGTTTTCTGCTGTCCCTCTCTGGTAACTTTTACCAGAGAAGAGCTCTTAAACATTGGACTTTCACCTGCTCATACTATTCCACCGCTCTTTATTGACCCTGGAACTATCCCAAAGTTATTAGTTGGAGGAGTGGCAGCTGTTTGGGATCCTTTCGGGAATGGCGCAGGGGAAAACGTGCAGGTGCGCTGGTTAAACTGAGACAGCAGGGATTTCGCACTGCACTCCCTTCAATCCACCTGGCGAATGTCCGCTCTCTGGCCAACAAAATGGACGAACTGCTGCTCCTCAACAGAACTAACTTGGACTTCTGCAGATCTGCTGCCCTGTGTTTCACCAAATCCTGGCTCACCGAGTGCATCCTGGACAGCGCACTTCACCTACCGGGATTTAATCTCATCTGCGCGGATCGCGAAAGGGAACTCACAGGAAAAACACGGGGAGGTGGACTCGAACTGCGTCGGTTACGACACTATGAGAACGAGATACCCACTAAACCGTGCCGAAAACCCCGCCTGCCCCAGTGTGTAATAAAGTGGCACGACTAAGAGGAGAGTGCACGAGTGCCAGGTGCCGAAGGAAAGTCAAGACTGTAAACCGAATGAATGTGTGCGGAGTGGCCCAGCCAGCTGCTACACAAACATCCTGCAAAGAGGCCCCGGAAAGGAGGGCTCGAGAGGCCGCTATCCCTCTGGTAGAATGAGCCCTCACAGCCACAGGTGAAGGCAAACCGCGCACCTGATAGGCCAGGGAAATAGTCTGAACAATCCAGTTGCTAATAGTATGTTTGGGTGCAGGGAGCACAGACCTGGGGGACCCAAAATACACTAGCAGCTGGTCAGCCTTCCTCCAACGGGAGGACCTCAGAGTGTAAATACTCAGTGCTCTGACAGGGCAGAGCAGATGGAGTCTCCCGTCCTCCGCCGTCACATGAGGTGGAGGATGAAATGCCTGCAGCACTGTGGACCCTGCCGCACAAGAAGGTACTTTAGGGATGTATCCTGGACGAGGGTGCAGGATAGCCCTAATATTCCCCGGGGCAAACTCCAGGCTTTGCGGGGAAACCGAAAGCGCTTGGAGATCCCCCACCCTCCTCAGAGAGGTGATAGCAAGAAGAAAGGCCATCTTGAGGGTCAAGTGCTTAGCCTCAGCTGACTCCAGGGGTTCGAAGGGAGCCTCAGCCAACGCCCCAAGAACCACCGCCAGATCCCGAGTGGGAACCTTGGACCGAGTCACAGGTCTCATCCTCCGGGCACCACGGAGGATCCGTGTGGACGGGGCCCTGGAGCTGAGGAGGGTCTCGACTGCTCCGGCTGTTAGACCCGCCTCTAGGTACTGTGCCCCCTCAGGGGCCAGACCCACAGTTGCCATACGGCGGGGCAAGCGTGAAGAACCCGGCCCTGCGCCTGGGACAGCAGGTCTCTCCTCAGAGGGACCTGCCATGGCGGGCCGTCCAGGAGCAACATGATGTCCGAGAACCACACCCGGGTTGGCCAGAACAGGGCTACGAGCAGTAGGCCGACATTTTGTATTGTACAGACGTAGCCTCGGCCACGAATGTACCATGGCGTCCAGACCCAACGGGGCTGGAGGAACGAGAGAAAACCATAGCGGGCAGTGCGTAGTCTCTTGAGACGCAAACAGATCCACGTCTATGGGGCCGAACTCTCAAGAGCTCCACTACTTCGGGGTGAAGTCTCCATTCCCCGGGCCTCAGCCCCTGCCTCGACAGCAGGTCTGCTCCCTGATTCTGCATCCCCGGGAGATACATCGCCCTGAGCGATAGTAACTGCTGGGACCACAGGACGATCTGACGCGATCTAAACCAGGTTTCTTTAAAGAAAGACCAGACCAGCTGGCCCCCATCTTCACTCAGATCTTCAACAAATCACTGGAGCTGTGTGAAGTTCCCTCCTGCTTCAAACGCTCCACAGTCATCCCGGTCCCAAAAAAATCCTCCATCTCTGGACTAAATGACTACAGGCCCATCGCCCTGACATCTGTAGTCATGAAGTCCTTTGAAAGACTGAAGGACCTGAAGGACATTACTGGCCCCCTGCTGGACACCCTGCAGTTTGCCTACAGGGCTAACAAGTCAGTGGATGATGCTGTCACCTTGGGTCTGCATCACATCCTGCAACACCTCAACTCTCCAGGGACATATGCAAGGATCCTGTTTGTGGACTTCAGCTCGGCGTTCAACACCATCATCCCGGACATCCTCAGTACCAAACTCACACAGCTCACTGTGCCAGCCTCCACCTGTCAGTGGATCACAGACTTCCTGACTGACAGGAGTCAGCAGGTGAGGCTGGGAAACATCACATCCAGCACCCGGACTATCAGCACCGACGCCCCCGAGGGCAGTGTGCTCTCCCCACTGCTCTTCTCCCTCTACACCAACGACTGCACCTCAAGAGGCCCATCTGTCAAACTCCTGAAGTTCGCTGACGACACAATGGTCAACGGCCTCATCCAGGACGGTGATGAGTCGGCCTACAGACGGGAGGTTGATCAGCTGGCTCTCTGGTGCGGCCAGAACAACCTGGAGCTTAACACGCTCAAAACTGTAGAAATGACTATGGACTTCAGAAGGAGCCCCCCCCCCCACTCTGCCCCCCTTCACCATACTCAACAGCCCTGTGTCTACTGTGGTATCCTTCAGGTTTCTGGGTTCCAATATATCCCAGGACCTGAAGTGGGAGCCCAACACTGACACCATAATCAAGAAGGCCCAGCAGAGGATGTACTTCCTGCGTCAGCTCAGGAAGCTCAACCTGCCTAAGGAGCTGCTGATCCACTTTTACACAGCCATCATTCATCTGCACTCCATCACTGCCTGGTTTGGATCTGCCACCAAAAAGGACAAGGACAGACTACAACGTACAGTCAGGACTGCAGAAAAAATAATCAGTGCCAACCTGCCCTCCATTCAGGACTTATACATTTGCAGAGTCAGGAAACAGGCAGGAAACATCACTGCAGATCCATCTCACCCCGGACACAACCTGTTCAAGCGCTTCCCCTCTGGTAGGCACTACAGAGCACTGTACACCAAAACCAACAGACACAGAAGCAGTTTCTTCCCACAAGCCATCACTCTGATGAACAGCTGATTTCTGACTCACGGTGTCAGGAACAATCCCTGTGCAATAACCCAGTAAGTCTGTCTCTAATCAGCCACCTGTTTACTGGTTTCCACTTATTATTTATTTATTCACCATTTTCTATTTCAGTGCTGTTCATACTATGTCATATTGTATATTCTGCATACCAATACACCTACCTCAGGTCATACGATCATAGGTCTTTATTTTTTCCAGCATCCTTTGCACTATGCTCCATCACACTGTGTACATGTGTACATGTATGCATGTACAGTGGGTACGAAAAGTATTCAGACCCCTTTAAATTTTTCACTCTTTGTTTCATTGCAGCCATTTTCCAAAAATCAAAAAAGTTCATTTTATTTTTCAGTAATGTACACTCAGCACCCCATCTTGACAGAAAAAACAGAAATGTAGAAATTTTTGCAAATTTATTAAAAAAGAAAAACTGAAATATCACATGGTCATAAGTATTCAGACCCTTTGCCGTGACACTCATATTTAACTCAGGTGCTGTCTATTTCTTCTGATCATCCTTGAGATGGTTCTACACCTTCATTTGAGTCCAGCTGTGTTTGATTATACTGATTGGACTTGATTAGGAAAGCCACACACCTGTCTATATAAGACCTTACAGCTCACAGTGCATGTCAGAGCAAATGAGAATCATGAGGTCAAAGGAACTGCCTGAAGAGCTCAGAGACAGAATTGTGGCAAGGCACAGATCTGGCCAAGGTTACAAAAAAATTTCTGCTGCACTTAAGGTTCCTAAGAGCACAGTGGCCTCCATAATCCTCAAATGGAAGACGTTTGGGACGACCAGAACCCTTCCTAGAGCTGGCCGTCCGGCCAAACTGAGCTATCGGGGAGAAGAGCCTTGGTGAGAGAGGTAAAGAAGAACCCAAAGGTCACTGTGGCTGAGCTCCAGAGATGCAGTCGGGAGATGGGAGAAAGTTGTAGTAAGTCAACCATCACTGCAGCAATCCACCAGTCGGGGCTTTATGGCAGAGTGGCCCGACGGAAGCCTCTCCTCAGTGCAAGACACATGAAAGCCCGCATGGAGTTTGCTAAAAAACACCTGAAGGACTCCAAGATGGTGATAAATAAGATCCTCTGGTCTGATGAGACCAAGATAGAACTTTTTGGCCTTAATTCTAAGCGGTATGTGTGGAGAAAACCAGGCACTGCTCATCACCTGTCCAATACAGTCTCAACAGTGAAGCATGGTGGTGGCAGCATCATGCTGTGGGGGTGTTTTTCAGCTGCAGGGACAGGACGACTGGTTGCAATCGAGGGAAAGATGAATGCGGCCAAGTACAGGGATATCCTGGACGAAAACCTTTTCCAGAGTGCTCTGGACCTCAGACTGGGCCGAAGGTTTACCTTCCAACAAGACAATGACCCTAAGCACACCGCTAAAATAACGAAGGAGTGGCTTCACAACAACTCCGTGGCTGTTCTTGAATGGCCCAGCCAGAGCCCTGACTTAAACCCAATTGAGCATCTCTGGAGAGACCTGAAAATGGCTGTCCACCAACGTTTACCATCCAACCTGACAGAACTGGAGAGGATCTGCAAGGAGGAATGGCAGAGGATACCCAAATCCAGATGTGAAAAACTTGTTGCATCTTTCCCAAAACGACTCATGGCTGTATTAGATCAAAAGGGTGCTTCTACTAAATACTGAGCAAAGGGTCTGAATACTTATGACCATGTGATATTTCAGTTTTTCTTTTTTAATAAATTTGCAAAAATTTCTACATTTCTGTTTTTTTTCTGTCAAGATGGGGTGCTGAGTGTACATTACTGAGAAATAAAATGAACTTTTTTGATTTTGGGAAAATGGCTGCAATGAAACAAAGAGTGAAAAATTTAAAGGGGTCTGAATACTTTCCGTACCCACTGTATGTGTATGTGTACCTGTATGTCATATCCACCTTCAATATGTACATAATGAGAATAGTTCTCTTGCACTCTGATCACTGCACTATTTGTCAATATGTCTATATTGTTTGTTCATCGTGTGTATATTAGTGTTGTCTATTCTGTAGTTTGTGTCTGATTTTATTTTATTATTATTTTATTATTGTGTTATGGTATTATTGTATAAGTAAGCACATCGTGAGCAATGTACAATCCTGAGTCAAATTCCTTGTATGTGTACACATACCTGGCAATAAAACTGATTCTGATTTAGGAGGATCTACTGACAGAAGTGCAATATAATATCCCTAACTATGTTTTCAGTGGTGTATAAAGACCTTACATAATGAACCGTTTTTATTACCTTAGTCTTTTTTTATGATTCAGACATGTTAATTTTCTAAAAGGATGCACGTTTTAAGTATTAAACTGAAACATTCTTTCATAACGAGAAGCTTTTTATTCAACAAACACAAATGCAATAAACATGAATGTGAATAAGCACAAACAGGTATAAGAGATAAGAGGTGAAGACCACTGGCAGTTATAATACAAATACATTTTTATATTACAATTAATTTCAGGTGACATTATTGGCTCATCTCTCTTTACTTCAGATTTCTTGCTCCGCTGTCTGTGTTTCATTACAACCACTCGGGTCAATGATAACAGGAAAGAAGTTTAGAAACAACTTTGAATCACTTTTTTGTTTTTTTAAAAACTCAGCAAAGTTAGTAACTTCTTTCCTCTTCACTGACCCTTTTGGGCTCCACATAAATCTAAAAAACCATCACAGATCCTTGATGGTTTACCTCCAAATTATACTCTAAGGAGAGAAGTAGAGGAGATTTGACTGCTTCATTAACGCCCTGAGAGTGGCAGTGTCCAGACAAACAGCATCATAATAACAATCGTCACAAGAGCAGAGAAGGCCAGCAGTGATTTTTCCGTTACACAATGAAACGTTCAGGTCATGCTCACATAGTGAGCCTGTTTCTCGTACACGGTGGCTCAGTTTCACTTCACCACATGCTTCACAATAAAAGCGCCTCTGTGCTACATCTGAATATTCACAGTCGACAAAACTATATTCTCCCTGATGAGGACACAACTGTGCAAAATGTCAGACTCCAGATGAAATGTAAACAACCATGCATATTAAATATATTCTAAACAGACTGCAGGAAAAACACCATCTGGTTGCTTGAGGTCAAATGACAGGGATAAGCAGTAGCATCTGATAACACTGTGGCTATTAGATCACTGAATACATCTGCTTCAGCTATTCTGATGAGTGTTTCCTTTTGTCTTCTGTAAAATCCCTTTTTGTCCCAACACAGTGCTGAGCTTAGTCCCAGTGAGTGCACATTGTTACAATGGAGTCACAAGAGCGAAGCCTCAGTTTTTCCCGAAAAAATAAATTCCCTGTTTAACAACACTTCCACAATCCTTTAAGACTCTTCAAACCATACATATGAAACAATATTCAATATGTAGAGAACAGCAAAACCTCCCATTATTCTGATTTTGCAGTGTTACTTATTTATTATACATTGATTATTTCAAGACAAAATAGCTTAATTTGGCTTATTTTGTTGTGTTATGTATTTGGAGCTTGATACAAACACACGGTGTATAGATCCTTTTAAATTAGCTGAATCTATTGTATTGGTGTTATAATAATTAATATAATATTAATATAATCATTTATGCCGTAATCGAAGCTTTGCAGCTATTTTGCCAACAGTTTGTTGACACTTGTAGTTCTTTTATCGTCGCTGTCAGAATATCTCCAACTCAGAATAAAGTCACAACTAAATCTTTTTGATCATGCAGCGTACTGAATATATCTTCAGGAATCTTTGAGGATTTTTTTTATTTTTTTTTTATTTTTTTTTATCATTCAGAAAAATAGATCCTTACTATCAAATGTAATAAATACTTAAGAGGCACAAACTGGGGCTAAGTTGTGGTGTCACTGTGAGGTCATGGGTGCTTGCACGAGGCAGGGCAAACTGGGATGACAGTTTCATCTAAGTGATGTTGGCCTGGCTCAAACATCATGTCATTATATAATATAGTCTGACTAATGCTGGATTTTGGAGGCCAGTACCAATTTCAATATTTGAGATTTAAAAAATCTTTTAACGAAGTATTGGAAGATCATTTTTTACTATGAAGAGACAACATTGAAAAAGATTTTACAGTGTAAAAGTAAGTGCTCTCTTAAAGGACAGACTATATTTAACCCTTTCTAAATTACCTGACACATCTTTGGCATTTCTATACTCAAGTTTCTTGTTACTTATCAGCTGACATACACAACTTATCGGTCAGGGTCTATTATATCAATTATATAAAAAAAAACATCCATTTAATGTTATCTTCTAAACCATACATGGAAGTAGGGCTGAACGATTAATTGCATTTGTGATAATATCCCGATATGATAAAACAAGATTTTCTAATTGCAAAGGCTGCAATTACACTCTGGTCACGTGACACTCGAGAGTAAAGCAGTCTGCAGAGGAAGCATCAACTTCGCAAGTTAAGCTGGACCTTGACCTGTACAATGGCATCAGGCTTGGCAGAACCGCAGAAACTTTAGTGTCAAACAAGGAATTTAATTTGCACCTGCCAAATGCGGGTAAATTGTTGGCAGTGGTGTGGTGGGTGAAATCGTCGGGCCATCCGCCACTTTGGTGGACAGGGAAAATGCACAACAGAAAGACACGTGTAGTATGGTTAGCGTATTACAAACGCAATGTGTCACACACACACACACACACAGCCAGCCACCAGTCAGCTCAAGGAATGATGGCGTTTCAAACCAAACTCACCAGTCCGAATGAGGCCCAGTCTCTCCTGAGTTACAGCCTGGTGCGCAACTGCGCTGCTCATCAGCAGCATCGGACAATCACTAAGTTTGTCTATTAGACATGAGAGTCGTCACCTGGTTTTATGTTCGTTGGACAACTTTTGTATTAAACCTCAGTCTGAGTATTTTTGTTTGTTTGTTTGCTTGCTTGCTTGCTGGGATCCAGAAAAGGAGGTTTTTGTTGAGAGATGGACTCTTGTGGAGATTTGAACCGAGATAAGGACGAATTAACTGGTGGTTGAACTGTGGGTTTTGTATTGAGCACTTACTGTATAACACACTAAGGTTAATTTAGTTTTTCTTGTCATCTGTAGGTAGGCCTACCTGATAATATTATGTTATGACTTGACTCAAATTACCTTTCTGTAAAATCATTATAATTTGATACCATTGCTTAGAATATTAATTCACACAATTCATGCATCACCTAATTTTATCATAACATATAGGCGTGGCCTACAGGAAAGAACAGTGTATGTTTAATCTATCCAATGTTGTGTTGGTCATAACATACAATGATTTATTGTCTGTTTTGAATAATATAGAAGATAAAGAGCTTAAAAGATAATTGCATATTAAATCGCAATTGCAATATTAGTTTAAAAAACAACACATTGCAATTAAGATTATTTCCCAAAATCATTCAGCCCTACTTGGAAGTTCAGTCTACATGCAGTAGTAAGAACTGTAGAGTGGTAAAAAAAATTGGGTTTAAAACTAAATTTAGATGGTGGAGTTATATCACTACCTCATACACACTCAGTTACACTAAAAGGTTGGTTGTTGCTGGAGTAGGTGAGGGGGAGCCGCTGTCAGATGGACTGTGTCCCAGCAGCAGCTCCTTCTCTCGGGGACGACATGGCCCGCTGATGTGCTGGCTGTGAGAGTGGTAGAGCCGCAGGAAAGCCAGGATGGACTGAGTCAACCACAGAGCAGTCACACACCACAGAGACGCCTGAGGACACACGGAGTGATTGATTAAGCTTAAAGTCACGCTTACACAATAAGAACATAAGAACAAGAACATCTGAATAAACTGTGCACACTAAGGCAATAGATGATGGTGTGTGTGTGTGTGTGTGTGTGTCTGTAGGCTGCCAAGAACTGTAGTTTTTTTAAGGGATTTAAATAGGTCTGGTGTTAGGAGGGATTGAGAATAGGGGTGTCGTCACTCAGATTACAGAGACAATAATTCTTCCATTGGCATATTTATTTGATCACCATGACAAATGTTCCTTGCAACCACTGCAGCAGCTTTTCACATGAAAGCTTTCACATGAATGACTGAAATGAGGTCAGAAAGGAAACATTGCTCACTGCTGATGATTAGCTATGGTAAAATAAAACAAAATCACCATCCTACCACATTGAAATAGGCTTACATGAACATACTGTCAGACTGAATAATGCCGTGAAACTAAACAGGAATGCAGTCTGATTATCAGACATGTGTATGCAGGGAGTAGAATACAAAACACAACAACATTGATTAGCATTAGCCTCTGTTGTTTAGATCGGTCGTACAGTATTGGGTGTGTTAGGGACAAATACTGTGTGACTAAATAAATCATCACCACCATTTAGGAACTTAATGCCAAGTCAAGAAAAGAAAATGTATATTTCTATTGTGCAGCCATTATTATAAGGGATTAGTTGTAGCCAGTTTCATTTTGGATAAAATACCCAGATTCATGACACTAACTAATCTCTTACACCTACACACAGTAAAGGCAGAGCTTCTACTAACCTGCTGAAATCTGAAAGAATAATAATTATTTTATAGTGCAGTAGTAGATACTATAGATGCACCGATATGGACCGGAATTGGCAGGTTTTCAGCTTAATTGGCCATGACTGGTGACCGGACCCAAGCAGCACAAATATTACATTTTCTGTCGGTCACATTTACATTACACATGCTGCGCTGCACGGTGTCACACAGCAGCACAGTCACCGACTATTTTCAAATAAAATATAAATAGCCCCCTGTAATTATGGCCTACTTAATACTGCAGTTTATTTTCAGTTAGATTTTATTTGTACAAAAAGCTCTGTCCAGCAGCCTAACCTGAAGCACTTTTTAATTTGAGATGTGTTAGAGTGAGAGAAGGTCCTGTAAGTTGCTGCAGTTTAGGAGAAAGTGCAAAAGTAAAGAAAAGTTCCAAAAATGTTTGTGTACACTGTCAAATATAGTTTATAGAAAGAAACAAAATTGGAATCAGCGGGTCAGACCTTAAAAAAAAAAAGAAATAAAAAGTAATCGGTAAGGAAATATGCAATCAGTGTAATAGATAACTAGCATTTTATAACTACATATAAAGACAACCCTTGTGAGAGAATGCATTGTCCAGGCAAGGCTGCTGTAACAGGCTAGGTTGGAAGTGGGTGTGACTTATCATACACAATGTGTGTGTTTACTGTCTGAGCGCTCCCACCTGTGCCAGACTGAGCTCTGTGTAGAAAGAGGAGGTGTCCACATCCAGGTAGAGGGGAACGGACTGGGACTCTGCACAGCTGAACACAAACAAACATGGCGGGCTGAGAAAGGATCCGACCACACTCACATTTAGGTTGGTCACTGTTGCAGATGGAGGATGTCCACCTGTCTGCTGTGACATTTTATCAGTGCAACATCAACACTGGATTAAAAGCTTTGCCATGCTATCGCCAGTGTGGATAATATCAGGTATTTAATTTGCTGGATTGCTCCAAAACAGACATTCCTGTCTAATAATATAAATAAATAATACAGTTTAAAATTACATATAAACATGACAGAGGATTCAGTATCTGTTTACTTACTGGTATCAGATAATAATTACTTGAAAATATGTTAATGGTATTGGGAACTATATTCGATTTTTGCAGAGTTTATTGCAATAATTTAATGTGAGGATTCATTTAATAATTAAAAGGTGGATGAGGACTGTTTGTGAAACAGCCGTAGCAAACATCACAATTACAGCAACATGGTAACAGCACCGGAGGAAACAAGACATACAGTAAATTGATACTGCAAAGGAAAAAAAACTCTTTACCTTTACCAATATACGGCTGCGTCCAAAAAGTCTTTTTTGCTTAGGAAGGTTCCTAACTGAGTGAAGTGAACCGTAAGTATTCCAGTGGCAGCCATGATAAGAGCTGGTCGAATTCTCTAAAAGCTAAGGAAAGGTGCCTCAATGCTTCCTTTCATATCTCCTTTAGCATAGGGTACACCGGACCGTCCTTTACGAAAGGAAAGGAGAGAATGCCGTCCCACAATTCTTTGCGGCGGCAACATTTAAAGCGACGCACGTTCTCAATCTCAAACGATAAAATCCATTGACCACATTTAGCAAGATCCTTGCAATACAGACACTCATAATGATACTTTAATAAAACCCACAATTACCTTCTTTCTTTTGGTTTGTTTTATTTTGGCTTTTTTGTAATCTAATACTGTTTCAACACCGTTTTATGTTTCGGGTTGTTAAAATAAGCCATAAAGTGTTTACTACAATAAAAAAAAAAAATCACCGACCATGACGGATAAAGGATGTTACTAGTCTTGTAACGTGATCAAAGTGAGGATAATGTTGCAGCGTGTAGCCTCACGTTATATTGCCAGCCTTCAGCAATATCATTAATTAATTTTACTTAAGTCAGCCTAATAAAGGTAAAGATCAAGCTGGATAACCTCTACACTAGGCGTTTCCGCACACAATGATTTATTTGTGGCGCCCTGCCACATTATCAACGCTGATTTTTGATTGATTTTGTTATTTAAAATGGGTCAAATCATATTTGATCACAGAGCTCCGCGCAGCGCATATAGTCTCTCAGCATCTCCTCTCACCCCATCGCTCTCTCTCTCTCTCTCTCTCTCTCTCTCACCACAGTTACACTGTCATTCTGTGGGAAACACTGTATTTACAAACAATTGGGATTCATGTTGATAAATAGCCAATGGGTGGGCAGGAGGGTGACAACCCTGTCCATTAGTGACTGGTACCTTATCTGCCTTTTTGCTATCTTGGTTATTAAGTAATATATTCCACCGTGTTGTCCACCTTTAGATGGCCTGCATTACAACAACACAGGGCGCAGAGCCAAAGATGCGCTTTTTGTAGTCCATCTTCAGAACATTGTAGTTTCATTGTAGTTTCATCACGGCAGGCCACGTCAGTAACAACCGCCGTCACATAATTACGTAGCCTAGAAAAGAGTCGGATTCTCTGAACCCCACGGTCCTCTTTTCCTATGTCCTACAGCCATACAGTATGTTGATACTGCAAAGGGAAAAAAATCTCTTTACCTTTACCAATATAAGTAATGGCTAAGCTAAAATAACCATCACAACCATCAGTTAGTAGATATTTGAAAATCAAACTGTTTTTGTTGTTGTAGTGACAGACAGGTGGTCTCTTGAGTAACGAATCACCATGGAACTCCGAAACTAAACATTAACCACAAGGCCAATATAATCAGTTTATCATCAGATAATGTACCTGTATGGCCGCGTGTTGTCATCAGTCACGGTGTCACACCAGGAGACCAAACCCAGAGACAAGATAACACTGGCCCCTCCAGACAGGAAGAGCACACACACACTCAGCAGCACCGTCAGGAAGGAGGAAAACAGGGTGCTGAGTAGAAACACACATTACAGCCATCAGACACATGGTACTTTAGATAAAAACATTGACTAAAAGCTATAATGTTGGGCAGATACTCCCACTAGAGCTGAAATGATTAGCCATAAATTAACTGGCTACTATTTTGATAATCAAATAATAATTTATGACATTTTTCAGAGAAAATGGCATAAATTCTCCATTTCCTGCTTCTCAAATGTGAGGATCTGCTGCTTCTCTGTCTTGTATGGTAGTTAAACTGAAGGGTCAGATAAAACAATGCATCTGAAGACAGCAGCTTGGGCTATATTAATAAGCACTTTATCACATTTTATTTTAATTACATAGACAAAACGATTCATCTTTGCCCTGATATCCAGTAAAGCTGTGATTTAGAAAAAGCTATTAGTCATATTTTCAGCTCTTTAGAAATTTTAGGACGTTTCCATGTCTGCACACTGTTTTAAGACTACTTTGGGCAAATCTATAGACAAAATATATTCTGCATGTACAGAATAGATGCACGTTCATTAGGACCAAAACACATGCTGGACCGAAGTTATTTCCAGTCTCTTAAATATTTAAAACAGTACTTTAAATAGCTCTACACCTACCATTACACTACTACTACTGCAGCAACTGGACTGGTATTACTCATACTATGTTACTTTATTACCAATGGTGGAAGAAGTACTCCAACAATTTACTAAAGTAAAGATAGCAATACTAGAGTGTAAAAAAAAAATACTCTGACTCTATCACATGTGAAAGTCCCGCATTCATAATCAAAATCTGCAAAGTAACTAGTAACTAGTGCAGTATAAAGTACAGTAAAGTATCTTTTAAATTGTACCTGAGTAGATGTACTTTGTTACTCAGTGTATTCCTACAAGTCTTACAGTTGAACCAGTAGAGGAAAGTGGCCTGTGAAGAACTGGGTCAGTAATGTGAGGGTGTGTCAGACTCACTCGTCATGGCGTCCGTGCAGATAGAAGAGGCATCTCCAGCTCTGCGCGGCCCCGTACAGCACCGTAAAAATACCGACAAATGTGACGAACTGGCAGGCCGCCGGTGGGCCCCACTGCTGTACCACCAGGTGAGACACGTCTTCAGGCTGCCCCGTCAGCTCGGCCCGGTCCTCTGTCCTCCAGTAGCCGGCGGAGAAGAGTGCGCATCGGCCTTTGAACGCGGAGCCATTGAGAGCCATGGGGACGACCACCAGCAAGCCCGCCACCATCGACAGGGCGTGAGCCGTGCAGTGGGCTAGCAACAACCGCCGGTCCAGCTCCATGTTAGAAGTCTAAAAACTAAAATGTGAAGGTATTCACGTTGTTGAAGATATCGACTAACGTCAACACATCCCCGTTTCTTTCCCGTGTAACGGTTCGCCTTGGTGGTGGTGGGTATTTAAAGAAACCAGGGTGGGGACCGGGTTTCCAGCAGTTACACAAGAGAGGATGAGGCACAGAGGTCTCACTCCGCCGCAAGATCCAGGAACCAGATAAAAAGACAACATCAGAAGACGAATTATACGGAATCCCTAAGCTGCCATCAATTCAAATATTTATTTTGCTCCGTTTTCCCTGATAACGGGATAATTTTCTCGTGATCTCGAGACAACGAATGTTGTTTTCCCGTGATAACGGGATAATTTTCTCGTGATCTCGAGACAACGAATGTTCTTTTCCCGTAAGAACGGGATGATTTTCTCGGGATATCGAGAAAACAAACCATTGCTGAACAAAGGGGTTGGCTGGTTTGTTTCATTAGGATAATTTCAAAAGACTTTACAGTGTGACTGGTCATCTTAGAGCACAGGACTTGTAATCCAGGGATTGCAAGTTTGACTTCTGCTATCAACAACTTTTATTTCTTCTTTTGTGTGTTTTATATTATCCTCTTCAGCAAAGTTGCTATGAAGAGATTCAGGGGAATCCAATCACAAATTTCCCGACGGCCATTTCAGGTTCCAAAATAGCCGTCAGGAAATGTGTAATATTAAATGGATTCCCCTGAATGAGAAGCACAGGAATTCCATAGGTTGATGGATATGAAACAATCGCCAGTCTCTTCATAAGAAAAAGAGGAAAAAAAGAAAATAAAGCTGGTTGTCAGTGAGGATTGAAACCACAATTCCAAGAATATGAGTCCTGTGCTCTACCAACTGAACCAACCAATAATACTGATAGTGAAACTACCATTAAACCACTGTGTTAAACTATTGTTTTGTTATCTCGAGATCACGAGAAAATTATCCCGTAATCACGAGAAAACAACAGTCATTATCTCGGGATTACGAGATAATTATCTCGTTATCACGGGAAAACGCAGAAAAAAAATGTTTGAATCGATGGGTGCTTAGGGCTTCCCTATGTATCCATGGCAGGCGTGTGAACATTTATTTCTTAATATTTACTGGTCGCTATTTAAAAGCTACTAGTGCTTAACTAGTAACAATTCCCATTTTACTACTAACAATTGATAGATACTAATACTTAATTTTCAGTTATTAGTTCAAATGTCATCTATTCATTAGTTAGCCTACCAGTAACTATTTGAAAAGTTTCTAGTAAGTATTTCCATTTTACTAGTATGTAGGCTATTATATACATACATACCTATTCATTAGTCACTAGTAAGTATTCCAAAAGATACTAGTAACTTTTTAATTCTTACCAATATAATATGTCTCAGTCATCCAGGTCATAGTTATCCAACGAAGGTTGAGGTCAAGGGCAACTGGACATGGTTGAAGATACTAGAAGACGTTTTGTCCCTCATACCTTCAGGTCTGACTGACTGGTAGGGAAACTCAGCTATTTAACCTCTGTGGGATCGTTAGATTGTCATTACCGCTGGTTCGTTAGTGCTCCTGGCTGTGGTAAGGACAGTCGTCATGGTATTCCAAAAGATACCAGTAACATTTTAATTCTTACTAGTAAGAATGGAATAATCACTAGTAACAGACTGCAGAGCCCCTAGATATCAATGGCAAAAACGTGCAATTAGTACTAGTAGGTTAACTAATGGAATAGTTAGTAACTAAAATGAAGTACAATCAATTGTTACTATAGTAAAACTGGAATAGTTAGCTGATGTCTATGAAGATTCTCAGTCATCCAGGTCATAGTTATCCAACGAAGGTTAAAATCAAGGGCAACTGGACTTGGCTGAAGATACTGGAAGACGTTTCGTCCCTCATCCAAAGGACTTCTTCAGTTCTGACTGACTGGCAGGGAAACTCAGCTATTTAACCTCAGTGGGGTCGTTGGCCCGGGTCATCGATACCGCTGGTTCGTTAGTGTTCCTTGTTGCTGTGACGAGAGTCGTTACAGTCGTTAAGACTACCTGTGGCCAAGACTGAACGACCATCGTTGGTATCTTCACCTGAGGCCAATAGGTTACATTTGTGGAGTTTCCTGGGAAGTGATGAAAGGACAGCATTGTAAGTGGGGGATAAGTGGTGGCGTAGACCCCCTCCCCTGTTCAATGACGGCTTCTCAACCCTGGTGTAGATGGCTTCCTTGACACCTCTTTCAAACCATCCATCTTCTCTGTCTAAAATGTGCACCTGGTGGAATAGTTACTAGTAACTAATAAATAAGTACTTGTAGCTTTTAAATAGCAACTAGTAAGTTGCTTAAATGATAAAACGGCTTTCCATATGAATCAGCATCATTGTCAAAATAATAAGAAGTTGTAGAATTCGTAGTAGTTAAACAGCATGATTACTTTCTAAAAAGCTGATTCCTTGGAGACAGGTGTGGGCAGGTGTATAATGAATGGATTAGGTGGCACATCATCAAAACTTTTTGTTATGAGGATATTCTATAGATTTATATCTTAGAATATTTATGCTGAGGTTCTTCTTTTACTTTGTATTGAGCTAATTTAATTAGTGATGTTATTTGTTATGTTTATTTTCTGTTATCTTTCTCTTAGGGCTGGGTGCTATGGCCAAAAATGTTATCACAATAAAAAATTTAATATAGGCTAATCCGATATCGGCCTAATTATTTTCAGTCCTTTTTCCTCTACAAAATAATTATCTTAATAGAAAAATTTAGTGCAAATTAATTTGTGATTCAAATTAATTAAATAAAACATTTATTGAACATGTGGAAAATTACGTTGGAGAACATGTTTGGTGTTTAGGACATTACAATTAGAAGGTAGATCCAGTCCTAGTTATTTGTAGACTGAGTGGTCGCGTAATTATTGAGAGGAGTGATACATCTTTCAGACAAACGATCTTTGGTCCTGCAAATTCCTCCAGCAGTGACGTCATTTGCCATCAGTGCATGCAGAAGAGAGTGATTATCTGGATGACCTCAATGATGAAGGGTTTGATCAATGACTCTGATCAGCAGGCATCTCAGCACTGTGATGGAGTGGTGGCTTCTTTTGTACGTTTTATTTGAATTGTGTCCAGTCGAAACTTAACACTTGAAACTTTTTTCATTGAATAAACACATAAAAAGAAGCAAGAAATCAGCTTTTTTCATTCTTGTAGGCCTAGTCTAAATCATGCTATTTTTTAATAATCCTCATTACATATATTACTTCACAGCTGATACAAGAACAATGTTTTCCCACCTCTCTACATCCCAGAGAGTCACGCTGACTTCATTGCAAACACACAGAGTCTGAAATTCTGAAGCATGCATCCAATTTTCTGCAGTGAAAGAAAAGCAGCAGTGAGGACCAGGACTGACAGCTGGCACTAGAGAGAACTTAGGTCCATGCATTTTAAGTGCCTTTTTAATACCTGCTTACGGCTCCAAACTGGATGCCTGTGTTTGGTGGAGCTGGGGGGAAATTCTTCTCTGTGGGACAGACTTTGGCATCCACACACTACCCCCCATCCTACTGATAAAGTCCATCGGTGAAGCTGTGACTTATTGTGCAACTAAGAGAAGCTGAAAAACAGATTATCTTTATCTGACCACATTGACCATAACCTCAATGCTCATAATTATAATAACACTCAAAAGCATATGTTTCAGTACTCAGTAAAATGCTTCTAGCATATAAATAATATCAGAATCAGCTTTATTTAGCCAAAGTGTGTGTACACATACAAGGAATTTAACTGTTTCAGCTAAGAACAAGAACACAGCTGAACAAATAAAGGGAAAAGAAATGTGATGTATACTAGAATGTGAAAATATAGTTATATATTGTCTATACAGACAATATATATATTAAATTAAAAAGAAAAAAACGTTATAAATAAAATTTACCTTTTTTACCTTCATTAGAAATATACTATATGTTTTCATTTAAAGTCATTTGTTGATAGTAGTCATGTCTTATGGGAAAACAGTGAACATTGTCAATGTGTTGTATGTTTACTTATATTTACTTAATTGTTATGTTTACTTATATTCATATTCTTACATATTCAACAGTTATGGATCCCATTTACCCGAGAGACTGGCACCAACCGAGAGACCCATCTGATGCTCTTACTGCATCAAGTAGCAGCTTAGATGAAGATCTAGATTTGGATGTAGCAACCAATTTATTTTCTCATTATTTGTTTTTATTACCGCATGTTGTTAAAATATTTTGTATTTATAATAATATTGAATCAATAATTCCTTTATATTTTCATCATGTTGTATTATCTTAAGTTGTCTATGTTGTAATCCATTTTCTTAATAAAATCTTTATATTTAATTTGTTTGGACGGATTACCATTTATGAGAACCTGTTATGTTTATGTTTTAAAAAAAAATCCTTTAGCCACTATTCTGTTGTCTATTAGAGGTAGCTATGTAATCATTCAAAAGCTGTATATTTGGTCTATTCTTGGGCTATGGTTAGACGTCTATTAACTTTTCACTGACAGCCCAAATTCAACCTTGTTTTAGCCTAGACCCATTTTCAATGTCTATTAGACGTCTATATGTAGTTGTTCAGTAGTGGTCTAATTGATGACTAGACTATTTTTGGGCAATGGTTAGACGTCTACCAAACTTTCACTGACAGCCCAAATTCAGCCCTGTTTTAGCCTAGACGTCTGGGCTCTGTTTAGACGTCTTTTAACTGTGAAATTGCTTGCTGGGAAGTTTGTTTTCTACTCCAGCCTGCCTAAAGAGCTGTTGCAGTGCAGGATGATAATAGATTTGTTTCTCAATGTATTATTTTAAATCATGCAATAAGGAAGAAGAAATGTGTAATAAAAATGTGGCTGGCCTTCTGAAGGGGGTGACCAAATCATTTTTTATTGAATTCAGTCTATTAGTATATTATTTTGATAGCACATCACAACTGAGAAAAACACCTTAATGAATTAATAGATGCTAAAGGAGGTCATTCTTTCTTGTAAACCGTTCAGCTCTGTTTACTAGCACTGTAACTAGTAAGCAAGGGAGTCACTTTGTGTTGTAAAGTGAACATAAGGTCTCAGATTAGGGGCATGATGATACATTTGGGTTATAAGATGTGACGATGCACAAGAACAATGCTGGAGGTCTGGGTACTCGCGTTAAACTCGTAATTTCCTGCATTCTGGAAACATTTTCTGCTCCAGTTTATGGTGGAAATGTCTGTTTTTTTTATGAGGGAAAACTATATTGCATTGCATGTTTTCTTATTGTGCAAATAAACCTTTCTCAAAGCATTTTAATTTGTAAGTTAACATTTCTTGGTGCTAATTTTCAGAAAGTTTTTAACAAATGCTTTCAAAAGGTGATGGGGACAAAATCAGCCATTTCAAAATGTGGTGGGGACATGTCCCCAGCATCCCAAGTGTAAATGACACCTAGGCTTGTAGGTACCCAGCCTTTTAAGTTTAATACTTGCATATTGCAAACCAAAAGGAGAGAACAGAATCAAACGGTTGTATTTGTTGAAATGTAAATAGTTTTATTCATTGCACATTTTCAGCCCCAGTGCCATCGTTCTTTAGTTTGGATTTGCTGCACCTAAAAACATTTGATAGCTGAATCAGATTATTGTGAGTC